GAGCTTTGCTTGAAGTCACGGCTGGACGCAAACGAGGACCACACTTTGAAACACCAACAAACCTCGTCAAAAAAAAAAAAAAAAAAACAGCCGAGTATCGCTGGTCGAGAGGGCTAGGATTGTGGACGTCTACAGGCGTGGCGGTGACCTAAAGCAACTGGCCGACGCGCTAGGCATCAACATTAGAACAGCAAGATCGATTACTGCTACCTACCGACAGAGAAACATCAAAGCATGGTGGGGGTTCAAAAAGGAAGTTTGGACATGACGTCGTGAGTACTTTGAGACGAATTGTCGACAAAAACTGCACATTTACAATAAAGCAAATAAAGGAGGCCCTAGAGGAAGAAATGCCAGGAGTAAAAATCAGTGCAAGCACAGTCGATCGGTTGCTGGATGCCCACTGCTACTCGATGAAGCTAGTGACGCAGAGGCCTACAGATCGCAAACGTGACAATATCAAGCACAGCCTGCAGGCGTTCTTTGCTGCTGGATGCGGCTCGCCACTCCATGCAAAAACACAGCACGTGGACAGCGCGGTCTTCCATCAGCACAATTTATCTTTCGTGGCTGCCGCTTCGCGTGAAGATGACTTGTGAACGTTCGTCTCCGAGTCTTTAAGACAGTTCTGTTTTAATAAATACACTCACCTGTGGCTATGTTGCATTTCTTGAATAATTATAGTTAGTAGTAAGCACTCTTGCTTTTCCTATATATACACACACACACACACACACACACACACACACACACACACACACACACACACACACACACACACATATATATATATATATATATATATATATATATATATATATATATATGTGACGTATGAAGTGATGGTTGGTAGAAGCTGAGGAGAAAGAAGTGCAGAACAAAATAAACATGGCGTATGAGCCAGGCCACGTTACCCAGTCATCATAGCGTCACACGAGTCGACAGGATGAAGACCTGGCGGCCACTTCATCAACCAGCCACCATCTCCGAACGTCTCAGCAAGACGCAGTGACCGAACGTGGACCACGAAAGTACATCCCAACACTACACCAAGACCAGCATTATGACAGCCCCATCAGACGACCTTCCCATCCCCAAGTACACCGGAGCAGCGGACGATGGACCTGTACAGGACTGGTTCGACCTGTTCGAGCACCACGCAACCGCTGCATCATGGTCGGAACGGGAAATGATCCCCAACTTCACTGACTACATCTCCGGTGAGGCATTCAAGTTTTACCTGACACACATATTCCAAAACGACGAATCATGGCAAAAGATCAGGGAAGAGATGATTGCCCGTTTTAACGACTACGACAAGGACTTCCTCATTACCGACCATCTGCACACAACCACACTCGGCCGTCACAGTCCACGCTTATTTCTCAAGAAACGTGGCGTTCCACCAGGTTTCTCTTCACGAAAGTCGGCATTTTCAAAGTCGTCGCACCAACATACGACACGAGACGTCGCTCACCCTACTGATGCCTTTCATGCTTCGTCTCGCATACATGGTCCACCACCTGGTTTTCTACAACGCAGCTCTTCAAAGGCTCCTAACAGTCACTATTCGTGTCATAAGGACGCCTTGTTCATGGTAGACCAGCTGACACATGGGGAAAATACCAAACAACGCCAAGATGACTCAAAGAGTGAAAATCAGTCTTCACGCATTGGAGCAGCTTACTCCCCATCTCGCAGACTTGGCCCGCCTCCTGGTTTTCCATCGCTTGGCTCTTTCGTGACTCACAATGTCCATCTCACATCTAGCACGCTCACAATGGTCGGGATAGAGCTGCGGAGCTCGGACGATGCTACGCCAAGCCCTGGACTTACCACCCAGATTCATGCGCCTGAACAGCTCGCATCGTTAGTTGCACAGAAAGAAGGCCATTCACAACTCAAACTTTACCGAACTACCCCTGTTGCAATGTTGCCGTCCAGTGCGCAGCCACCAGAAACTCCAAACACAGAAAACTCAGACGCATCGAACGTCGCATGCTACCAGGCGCAAGAACCACTCATAGTGAGCCGCGAAGAAGAAGCCCCTGATGAACTATCTGTCAACTCTGAATGTTTTTTGTCGCAAGAGTTCATTTCCACGGCACCGCAGACTTGCCAAAATTTGCATTTTCAATCTGGTGATGCGACGTCACATGTGGTACCCTCATGCAGTGGTCACCAATCCAAGAATCAAACCAATTCAGAAGCAAATCATACATCAAACCTCGTACACAGTTATCTTTCAGAAGCGTCCGTAATCAACCACGTCACAGAAGCCTCTGAAGAGCAGGCTAGCAATGATGGCGCACCACCAACCATGCCCGATAAGCGAGAAACCTGTTCACCATGCATCAGCTGTCTACAGGACGCGTCAAACCTCAAAGTAAATGAATGTCCCATTCCGGAAGGCTTGCCACTACAGCCATTTCCTGAGCAGCATCAGCAAAGCAAGCATAGCCCAGCGCGCAACCTCATGCGACAACAAAATAGACTGCAACGAAGGCATCGACGAACGCGAAATTCAACGGAAGCACACTCACCAATTGAAGAACAGCAGAAAATAAGATCTCTAACCCAAAAAGTATTCCAAGACATCAAATTTTCTCGCACAGAGGAAAGTCGCCAGAGACGCTCCCTGCGCCTGCAGTTACACAGACCACAACACCACGGAAAACGCCAAGAAAGATGCGGAAGCGCTTCTTGCATACCGCCAGCCCGCAGGCATAACGCCGTCATAATCCGTCAAGAAGCACGCATTTTAGAAGCAAAGCGTCTGTCGCAGCCACGACTCAGAATCCAACGCATGAGACATCCGACCTTCCAACGCTACAAGGACTCCCAACCTTGTTCGTTCCTCAATACTAACCAGGTTGTGCCATCATCATTTTTAACGCTGAAGGCATGGTTATGCTCCCCAGAACGCAACAGCCAACCTCGCCCACCTGAGGTCTCCTAGATATCACCGGACTGCCTTTCCTGTGAACATTTTGTGCAAGTGCATGGAACTGCCGTGTGGCATGGAACTACTGCATTTTCTGGCATTATTTATTTATTATAAGACTCCATTTGTTCATGCTTTCTAGATTGCAGCTCGCGCATTCTTTCGGGAGGAGGGGGAATCGTGTGACGGATGAAGTGATGGTTGGTAGAAGCTGAGGAGGAAGAAGTGCAGAACAGAATAAACATGGCGTATGAGCCAGGCCACATTACCCAGTCATCATAGCGTCACATATATAAATATATATATATTGAAGAAGTGAGTTTTTCCAATGGGCCAAACGTACTTGGGAAGAGAAGAAACACAACTTGGTGGTTGTCTTAATTTTATTACCAATGGTATCGACCGGTGGACCGGTCTTCGTCAGGGTTTGTGCAATCTTCCAATGTGCGATGAGAGGCATAATGAGATGCTGATGAGAGGCGTAAAAAAAAGAAACCCGTACAGAAAAAAAACTAGGCCCAAGGACAAATGCGCGTTATCATTTTGTTTCCTCAGTGTTCGTTTCATCGCGTTGGTCAAGTACCTCACAATACTACCAAGCTAAATGAACAATCAGTACCGTTCGTATTATTGGAGACATTAATTTTGTTTGAATAACAAGAGCAAACAATAATGTAAGATATAACTTCCATTGCCACAGAAGGATGATCGTTTTATGTGCACTTCAGGACAAAGACATATTGGAATTATCTCTTATTCACTCTGCCCCACGACAGCCTCCTAATTTCTTAATTATGTAGCTGCCTTTGGCCCATCACTGCCCACGGCTAGGTTTTCGATACCTTGATATGTATTCTGGCATTCCTATAAACAAAGCTTGTCCTTCGCATTACATGACCTGTCCCGGTCATGTAATGTTGTAGTGTGTGCCGAAGCCAATTATGAGCTTTAGTGACGGACACGGAATTTCATTGCGCTGTAAAATATTCGTAATATGTTCCTGCGTTTTCTTTCATTTTCATTAAAATTATTTCACTTGTGGCAAGCACTCATTATACAAACTTGCACATAGCAAAGTATAAGCACTCCGAACACAGCTCAAGCGAACCACGGCAGTATTTTTTTTTTCACGAATACCATCGGTGAATACCAATAATAATGATTTATTCTACCTTCCGACTATTGTCTTTTATACGGTAGAAACTGCATTTCAATTGCACTGCTGTTTTTCAGCTTTTTGTATATGGATTAAACTGACTGGCACCTGAATTAATGTCATTGGCAATTGGATTAAACACGGTGGCACTTGGATTAAACTCACTGGCACGCGGCCTCATTGTGTTGGCGCTTGGATTAAATGTTTGGCACATAGATTAAATAGTTCGGCACTCATATTATTTTAATGGCGTGCAGATTATTTAAGCTGGCACTTGGATTAAAGTGAGCGGGAAAACCTGTAGATGTCAAAATGGTCATTTCTTTGGTCACATAATTTTTAAACTTGGAAGGTGTAAATGCCCTTCCAGTTATTAGCTGGTATTTGTCACGTAATTACAATTCTACCAAGGCTGAGAGAAAAATAAAAGCTTTAGTCTGCAGTTCAAGTGCTGCAGAAAAGAATGGTACCAAGTTTGTTTCGATATCTTCACAGAACTTGCTCAAAACTTCCGTAAGGCACATTCACTTCGCAAAAAAAAAGAATGCCAAGAAAAATTGTTTTCAGCTTTAAAAGCATTTGTAATTTCATATATTAAGCTTTTAACAAAAAGAAATGGTTTTTTGCCACATTATAAATTTTTCCACAACATACTTTGGACTATAAGTACCTCTAATTGCAAGTTTTGAACGTCTGCCCTTTTCACAATTTTGTGCTATTTTGAGACCCTCGTGCCCCCTAACGTGACCCAAACCTAAAGCACACAGGCCTCGGGCACATCGTCTCCATCAAAATGCAGCCATCGTAGCCGAGATTTGGTTCCACAACTTTTAGGTGTGTAGCTGAGCACTGTAACCACTTGACCCCGGAGGCAGTTTCCAAATACACAGCACACAGGCAGCTATTCTCCCAAATGTTTATTTGCATTCATTGAACATGTGTCGAGTGCGATACACTTTACAGAAATGATGAAAAGAAACGATGAGGGAGAGACACAGCAGCGCAACGAACGGTGCTTGAAGGTCAGCAATGAAACGGAAATGAAAAACTCAATTTGACGTATTTCCGTGAACTAGCTTTCACGGTTAAAGAGACCGGCAGTCAGATGCAACGCCGCTTGTATTTACAAATCGTTCGAGAAAGTCCTGCTGCAATGCGTTGGAACGAGTGCTCTTCTTCTGTCCTTGCAGCATTGCACTTCATATATCCTGCAAAAGAAACGGGGGCATGAAATCAATGAGGAGAAATTACACTGACATCCATTCGTTACTCAGGCTAGCTTTGATTTATGAAGCAGAGGTTGAAATAGTACCTACCATATGGAAATTATTAGTATCATTCAAGAGCTTTAGAACTATACATGTAGCATTCCAATAATTCACATTTGCTATACAGGGCGCACACAGAACTTTTTGCTTATGCATACTTGCTGTTTGTGCACAATGCCGTTACATCGATACAACACAGTACTAAATCACACTATTTTGAGCGACTGCACTTTAGCAGATGTAATCACAATCAGTAAGTACAGTTAAATCCCTTTATAAGAGGCATGCTTTGGGCAGCAGTTCTTATATCTTATATATGTCTTTTACATCAGTGTCTCTTATAGAGGGGTTCGACTGTAAGTGCATTAAGGGGGGACGTGGCAAGTAAAACTAATTTTTTTATTAATGTACTGTTTGTGATGAAATTTGGTGTGTGTATGTGGATGATTGTGAGGATTCCATATATGAAAACCGTTTTCAAATACCTCTTGTACTTTTTGAGTTACAAGCATAATTATACTAATTAATGCTCTTCACACTTAAAGAGATAATTATTGCAAAATGAAATTATTTTTTCATATTATTATGTTCCCAAAGCATCAACTTGTGCAAAGAAGCTATTAGTTGATTTTTCTAGTTCTTGTAACCATAAATAAAATTTCCAAAACATGGATGTTGTTTTGCGCACACATCGCAGTAATTATAAAATGTGTTCTAAAAATTTTAAATGATGAGTAAGAAGAGAGATAAAGCTTTATTGCACTGCTAAAGGCCTCCTGAGCCTAGTGCAAAAAACGGAACGACTCTATCAGTCTTTGTTAGAAAATGACTGATGTTCTAGCGAAGGCACATAGGCGAAAATCAAGAGTTGAGAAAACTGACTTTGAAAGTTCACTCTTGTTTGGAAGTTCACAACATGCCTAAAACACTCAGAATCCTCCTGGGCAGTAATCCTGAGATGCTGTGGCCTTGGCCTCCGTAGAGCGCAACCCAGTTTTGCGCTTCTTTGTCGTGGAACAATGCGCCTTTTGAGCCCTCTTTACCCTTTTGGCATCCTTTTCGGCTGCTCGCCGCAAAGAGCAGTCTCCTGGATTGAAGCCCAGTTGAGCAGTGATCTCTTGCAGCGCACTCTTGCAGCCACCATTGAAACGGCAGACTGCATCTGCAACTGCACTTTCCACACTTCGAAGGGACGCGAACTGGCTCTTGGACTGGAGTGACCAAATGAGGCTGTTCATACTCTCCACAGCGTTCTGGGTTTTTCCCTGCGCACACCTTTCAAGGAGCTCTTTGTTCGAGAGGCGCTTGTAGATTGGCAGCAGTGCCACTCGCACGTGAGGGGGCAGTTTATGTTTGTGAGGCGGCAGCGGCTCTCCCTTGGCCAATGCCCGATTGTGCGGGCACCAGGAGTCAGTCCCACTTGGGCACAGGTCGTGGTGTGGATCCTGGTCTGTGGATGTTACATGGTAATAAGTGGCCATGATGGCCCTCTCCATGCCAGGAACATCGTTGGGGTGGCTCTTAATGGCCCAGCCATAATAATTCGTCAACTTCTTTATCAGGCCCTGCGTCAGCCGGCCTTTGCCACCCATGCTCAGTCCTCGGCCTTTGGATTTGTGCTCATCAAGAAGGTTGCGCAAGGAAGTGCCCATTCTTTTTTTCACATGGTTCACACACTCCTGTTTCTTAATCACCATGTAGCCATACACCTTGTCTTGCGTGAGGGCAAGGTACGTACGGCTGTCACCGTCGCAGAGCACATTGATGTATCGAAGCTTGTACTTGGTAAACGATCTTTCAAACATGATCCTAGCTGCTTCTACTTCCATTTGGCCTGCATTAGCATCGGTGTTCTTTTGGCACTGTGGCTTGTGTTTCTCAAGCCACTCCTCATAGTTGTCGTCACCAGGCTTGGGGCCAACAGCACAGCCTTGGCAGTAGTTGGACAGGACACAGTGGTCCAAGACCAAGCCTGTGTACAGCTCGATTACACAGCCCACGCCAATATGACTTCTGTGCCCCCTCGTCATCCACGTGCCGTCGTAAATGACGTCAATGTTGCCTGGCACTCCTCCTAGGTCCTTGTAGATGTCATGCACCTTCTGTGCACTTTCTGCTTCAATGCGGGTGGCAGCTGATGTGGTGGCAGGGTGGCTGTACTTCCTTTGCAGTCTCTGGTAGGACTTGTGGTGCAGTGCTCGATGCGAAATGTCCATCGCAGAAAAAATGTCATTTATGGCAGATTGTTTTCTGCCAACTGACTGCACAGCCCTCAAAGCACGCACGTTTACCTCAAAGGGGTTCGTTTTTTGTTGCCCGGAGCACCTCGGGGACGACCACGCACTGTTTACTATGCCACAATTGTCACAAAAAAGTCCCATCCTCGCCGCGAGTCCAAGGCAGTGCGTAGTCTCGAGGCGTATCGACCCTTCGTCGCACTTGTTGCACTTTACTGACGAAAGCAGACCGTTCAGCATCTTCTTATTTACAATGAAGAATGTGGAGTCCTTACCGCCGTCATTTTCGTCGCAGCCTTCGTTCAGAAGCTCGAGCTTCCGCTTTGAAGCGGACTTCGATGCTACGGCATCCAAAACATCCCGCCTTGTCTGCGCCCGCTGCGCGATTTCTTCACTGCTCGGAATCTGGGCCGAAACTCGCGATAGAATGTTCGACGCGCGCACGCCCGGAGTTGCAACGGCTGCCGACGCGGTGCCACCGCAATCGGGTTCGCGAGAGCGTCCGTCACGGTCGACGGCATCCGGCGGTCTGACATACGACGATGTGGCACCTTCCACACTCTCGGCCTCACAACAATCAGCGAAGGGTCTGAGTAGAGGCTCCGTGACGCTTGAAGAGCATGCTCCGTCCGGAACTGCGACTGGGACGGCAGCCGCAGTCGTCTGCCCTTTGTTCCAAGCTTTCCGACGCTTGCCGTACTTGTGGACGCTCCGGAACTTTTTTTGCGACAACATAGCACCGCAGTATGAGCAAGCACTCAGAAGAGACCACCGATGTAAACAAAGCTTGGTAAAAAAAGCACGCGAACTATCACAAAAACAGCAAACTGGCAAAAAACGAAGCGCACGCCGGATGATTCTCGACACGGCGGCCACAGATGCGCTCGCGCTTCCAAGGTTGCCAAGGTGCGCGGCGCAGCTTTGACCAGTAAGAGGTCGCGCCTGCTACCACGTGACCCGCGCAGCCAATTGCCGTTCTTCGTTTTCGTTTTTTTACTTGCTCTTCGCGCTTTTATTTTCACTCGGCGAAATACGAGACCGCGACCATCGGGAAGCCGGCTTTCTCCTCTTTCCAAAGCTACCAAAATGGCGGCCCACAGTCAACAACTTGGCGCGTTTGTGCGGCGTGAACAACACCGTTTCAGGGGCTTTTTTTTCGCACTTTTCGGCGACTGGCCTCGGCAAAAACACTATTTGCGGGATTTGCAGCGCACGTTTCGCTGTAATATTTTAGAACAAGGAAGTTGAAGGTCTGAAGATAACGAAAAAAAATAAATCAGAAAATCGCATATTTTGACCAAAATCGGCACTTTACTTGCCGCGCCCCCCCTTAACATTAACACGGTCAATCACGACGAGTTGTGATGCCAATCATGAGAGATGGTGAGCTACAAAAAATGCAGCCATTACAGAGCCAGTTTCTACCAGTTCTAGCTCTGCATATAACGTATGGTCATTCTCAGCACTTGTGTGAAACGCTTTAGTTTTTACTGTGCCTATCACAGATTTGACATCGTAATTAATACATAATGAATCTTGTGGTAGTGCCGAGCCTTGTTCATTGATGAAAGGGCTGCTGTTCCAATCAGGAGTGGCCCTCTTGACAACTGGTGGCGATTTGTTCTGGGAGTGCTTTTAGTTCATAAAAAGCCCTTCCCTTTGGCTCTTTGACATAATTCTAGAACGAGCATCAACATGGAAAAAAAACGGAGAACCAGCAAAACGAGACGCACACGTGCAGATCAGCGGACAGAGATGGGGTGTGTTGCGTCACGCTACAGTAACTAATGACCAACTTGCCCACGCAGCAACCTTTCTCCATCATGTTTAACAGCAAAAGCTGTTATGAGATCACAACAAGGGTCACAAGCGCCGTAGTTGTCCATTGCCGCTATCGGTGTCCATAGCCACTATTACGGCCCCTGACTACCTGCCAACCTGGCAGGTAGTCTCAAAAGCAAGCGCAAACATCGGCATTGCAGTTTCGATGGCCGAACACACGAGGGTACGGTTTTCAACAAAGGTGAGTCTCAAGAGGGGGAGCGCAAATGCTCTTGAAATTTTGCATAAAAACAATGAATTTCCGTCAAAACAACTCGCATAGTTTTCACACATGAACGGACAAGACAGCGCAGCTAGCTGCCGTGAAAGCGCGGGTCAAAGCTTTGGCTTTGTTCGCTACTAGATTCTTTGGACAGGAACACAAAAATGCTTCTAGCCTATTGTACGTCTTTACCGCCTTTAATCTACCACTGCATCAGCCAAGTGCCCTCGGCCTCGTAGATCGCTATCGCATCGCTGTGACCGCGAGTTTGTGCACGGCAGTTACGACAAACAGTAGTTTTGTTTTCAATCCACGTGCCTTCAGAGCTAAGTCGTTTTATGCTATCTATGATCGCAACTTACATAACTTTGTCCACAGAGTTTGCGAAAAGCAGCATTGCTATGACTGGTCAAGCATTAGCCACGCACAAACTTTCGGAGTTCTGTCAATAATGTTGTCGCCATACAAGATTGTGTCGAACGACCGTGGTTTTGTCCAGAACGGTTGTTCGACAACCACACGCACTGTCAAAGACAGTGCTTGCGCTGATTGCACGCACTGTCCGAAGCTTCAAGCACGCTGCTCTCAATTGGCCTTCATTCGATGGTTTCTGTACTACGGTTCATGTCACACGCCACGATTAGGAAAAGTGTTCGGAA